TTCCTTCTGTTTGACAGAGCCAAAAAGGAAAAATTTATACAAGGTTTTGTAGATGTTCGATCTTAATGGTCTATCTGTTTAATTAATTTCTTATTTCTTTTTAAAATTCCCAAGTTTTCATTCCCTAATTTGAATCTTTACAACCTAGTTCCCACGTTATTTCTATATTACCTCTATTCGTTTAAAATTTCTACAGTTTGGTCCATTCTATTTTTTTTTTCTACTAAATTTTTTTCCAAAATACTTGAAAGTCACCTTTTTTGGGATCTTATATTATATGTTTGGACATATTAATTTTTATTTGATATTAATAAATACGCACAATCTATATGACTGTGTACATTATCCATAAATTATCCATATCTTCTTATATTTTTAATATGTATAAAGCTTAAAAGAAATAATTAATTATTAACACCTATTTATCTCTTAATTATTAAAAGATAATCTATTAAAAATTTAAAAATAATTACTAAAATTTATTTTAAAATATTTTACAAGATACAATCATAGAATTCAATGTATCATTAAATTTTTATTTAATAAATTTGTAATTAACTAAAAATATAAAATTATATATTTTATAAATTTTTAATTTGTTCTTTTACCCACACCTCATTCATACCACAATTTATTATTTTTTTAATTTTTTAATAAAACATTAAAGTACAAAATTCCATACAGATATAATTATATTTTTAAATTCATAATATAAAAATGTTCTTCATTTATCTCAACCGCCAAATTTTCATTTCCCCGAGTCACGTCCGCCGTTCCAACTTCCAACTTCTGACTCCACTGTATCCAACCATGGCTACATGCTTCGCGGTTCCCATTCCTTTCAAGCCTCAAAGCCCTAACTCAAACCATTGCAAAGCCCACCGCTCTCAGACCTCCAGAATCATCTGTTCCTCCATTACAACCGAAGCCAAAAGAGATCTCCTCAACCTCATCTGTGACCAAGACCGAGGCCTTAAAACGCAGAAGGACCCTGTGAAGCGAAAGGCAATCATCAAAGCCATCGGCGCCATGGCTGTTCTGGGAAGTGATATGATCACCACCGGCGACTCTCTCTCGGCCACCTGGCGCATGCTTTGGACCACGGAGAAGGAGCAGTTATTCATCATAGAGAAAGCATACTTGTTTGGTACACAAGCAGGTGATGTGTTGCAGGTGATAGATGTTGAGAAACGATCTCTCAACAATGTGATCACGTTTCCACCTCATGGGGTTTTCTTTGTTCGCTCTGATATCGAGATCTTCTCGCGTCAGAGAGTAAATTTCAGGTTAGATTTTGTGCATATTCTTCAAATTACAGTTAAAGATGCGAATGGACATGAAGTTTGGCTAAGTAAATTTGATTGTTACAGCCGAATAGTGAAATATTGGGCAGCACACTTCGCGTTCCGCATTCCTGTTTAAATTTATCCCTGGGCAATCAGAAATGGGCAAATAGGTCTAGCTGATCAATTTCATGCATGAAGATTTTGGTGACTAATTAAGTTTTCTTTTATCTGGTGATCTGGTTTTTGTAGATTTACTTCTGCGGTTCTGCGGGGAAGAAATTGGGAGATTCCACTGCCGCCATTTGGACAGGGTTGGTAAGTATTTTGTTTTTGTAATCTTCAATTAATGAACCATAAACTTTGATGTGGATTGATATTTGTTTCTGTAAATGGTACTTAAAATTTTAAGCTAAAAAAGATGGATCCCTTTTGTTCTCAGTGTGGCGACAAGCTACTCTGGCAACCTCATTTTACTTTAAAGAAGATATTACAACCGGTAATTTTCCTGCAAATAGCAATAATTGTTGGTTGGAATCAAACTCTTTCATTCTTAGCGACAGATTCCATGTTAGATTGCAGCAAACTTGGCAAGTCTAGTCTTAGCCAAAATGTAGCATCTGTTGCTTCCAGGAATATGGGGTGCATCAAGTTTTGATCAGCCTCCATTTGGTGTTTTTGTGGCTGGACCATAATTAATGCAGGATCGAGGATTAACAATGTGATAAAAAATTTACACATACGCAATTAACACAAAAAACTTAATCATTGGATAAACCTTCTCTACTTAACACACAATCAACTTATAATTGAAACTAAGATAACATAGATAAATGAATTGATTAGAATGTTACAAGAAAAATCTTGATAAATTAAAATCAATTCAAGAGAGAGATTGATGAAAACATCGTAAATTATCTTGATAAATATGCACGAATTAGTTTTCCACTCAATAAGAAAGTTGAAGAAAATCTCATTTGTTGAAAATTTAGAAAATTTTGAATTTTATTAACTCCAAACTTGAATTGAGAATTACAGTTCTTGAGATCTATTGGTAGTTGAAAGCTAATTGAGATATAAGGAAATAAAATCTCCTAATTAATTGTACGAGCTTGACTAGAAACCCAAATAGATAATAAAATAATAAAAAAATTATAATTAGGAAAGATTTGATCAAAATAATGTAGATATGCCGCTTTTTTTAGGAAACCTCTTAATTGGGGAAAATCCATCTTCAATTGATTAGATTCTTGAGTGAAGAAAAGGAAAATTAGGGCCGGCTTTAAAGTGGACACCAAATCTGTACATATCTTCCTAACTTGTGAAGTCCATGCCTTCAAATGCTTAAAATTTGGTTTCCTCTTTTGGAAAGATTAAGATAGGCCAAGGAGGATCTTTTGGATTTTGTGACAATTCTCCTTGAATTTGGTTGCTGTTTTAGGATGAAAAAAATTAAAGCAAAAACATTTTCTTGCTTGGGAAAGATCCCTCATGGTTTAAGGGAACTTTCCATAAGCTTGTCTCAGTTTATTCCCTTAATTGGGTGATGATGCATGACCGAATTTGCCCATGGTCACAATGGGCTTATTCTTTTTCCCTTGTGGGTTTTCATGCTTGGTCCAAGTGGCTTCTTTCATATTAATCCATCCTTCAATATAATTAAAGAAGTTTTCCTCAAACCTCTTGGTCCATGTTCTTGTGTTTGACCCACTTATCTTTAGGATGCTTTTCTCATGCATTCCAAGTCTAGAAAGTTCCGTGGAGTTCATAATTGCATAAAAGGAGTCAAGGCAATGGCTGCGGCGCGACAATGCACTTCTTTGATTGTCCCCGTCTCGCCCGCCTATGCAGTAGAAAAACTCTGAATTCGACGTTGAATAGCCATAGTGAGTTTATCACCAGTGGCATAAGCAGAGGAGGCATAAGCAGTGGGGAGAAAGACAATTTACTTCACTTCTTACAATTCCAGTTGAACCCGCAACAAAGTCAGCGCCTACAGCTGTTGCTTTCGTGGGATCAACTACTCATTTTCGAAATAGAATTGGATTATCAAAAAATGCCTTTGTCTCTATCTCTACTTCTGGAGGGCTCGATTTGTAAATGGATATGCTATAGCCACTCTTGATATGCTTGGGACTTAGCCTCTTATGGATTTGGAATCAAGCGAGATCTATGAGACTTCCAAGCTTTTCTTCCCTTTATGTGGGTGTCGTTTATGACCCAAAACACTTTGATCACCTATAGAACAACCAATGTCGTGACCTATTGAGAGTATTAGGTCCAAGCGGTCCGTTCTCACATTATCCCCTCTTTCCTCAAAAACGATTCGTCATCAAATCAGAAACTTTTTATGTAGGGATTTTACCAAGTCTGCTAAAGAAAGGTTAGATACAGTCTCTTCTATTTCTCCTGCTAAGGATTCATAATTGGTTTTTTTTTTTTTTTTCTTTTTTTTCTTGGTAGTAGTCTTATTTTCTTTTACGACATGTGCTTCTCTCCCGCAATTTTATTTTCCTCTTCTCCCTTGGCATTACTTTTTTCTTCTCCCGTGGATTCATTATTCTCTTTTCTTTTATCTTCATGTCTCATATTCTTCGCAAGTATTTTCTTGATGCTTAATTGATCTTTGAATGCTTCCTTAGGTGATAATGAGACAATTATATGCTTTCAACCATTCAAGTAAAGGAATAATGGTTCCTAAAGTCATCATAGATTGCTTGTCTATTACATTGCCATGGTCGCCCTAGTAATATATGACTAACATGCATGGACGCAACATCATAAAGGACTTCATTAGTGTATTGGCTAAAACAAAAAGAAATCAATACTTGCTTAGTTACCTCCAACTCCCCATATTCATGCGGCAATTGTAACTTTTAGGGATGAGAATATGTTGTGCATGTTAAGCGCAATTTATTGACAAGTATAGGATTAGTGATGTTGTTGCAACTATCTTCATCAATCTGTAGGCTACATACTTTTGCATTCATGAATATCGTGTATGGAATAAATTCTCTCTTTGATTGGATTATTTTTCCTCCTAGTAGTTACATGAATGGACCTCCTCCTCTTGGATTGGATTTTTGGCCCTTAATGAATTAGGAGTCTTTGTAAACTATCATTGGAACTCTTCCATAAAGAGCTTCATATTGGTTTATTCGCTAAGCAAAGGCATCGTGAGAAACCTGCAAGAAAGGTTAGTAAAGAAAATAACACTCTCTCGTGTGTTTCACTCTTTGTGTTTCATTTAAGGTCTTTTACTTCTCAACCTCCTTCCTTCAAGTTGAATGTTAGAATTGGAATCCCTTTAATCAAGATAATCAATTGTTGTTTAAGACATTGCAAGAAATCTTAATTGAAGAAAGTGGTAAGCAAATCTAGATGAAATAGAATTTAAACATACAGATGAAAATAGTCTGTGTTCATGTATAGTGCTAAGTAACTAGGATCAATTAGTTACTTAGTGATTAATGGAACAAAAGTACGATGAAAGAAAGAAACTTATAGTGCAAGAAAGACAATATGGATATGATATTCTTGTTTTCTTTTTTTTTTTTTGGTTTATGATGTGGATAAACGGATGGAAAAGATATGTATATAATAATAACTGAATGGAATAAGAATGAAAACACTATACAAGGATAGATTATAAAAGATAGTAAGATCTATATACTATCTAAACTCTGATATCAAATGATATAAAACCCAAAATCAACAACAATGTCATAAAAAACTCACACGTACACAATTAACACTAAAAACTTAATCTCTGAATAAACCTTGCCTACTTAATCTACGATCAATCTGTGATTGGAACTAAGGTAATAGGGAGTAATGAGTTGATTAGTATGCTACAAAGAAAACATTGATAAGTTAAAAATCAATTTAAGAAAGAGATTGATGAAAATGTTATAAGTTACTTTGATAAGGAAATATTAATTTTCTACTCAACAAGAAAGTTGAAGAAAACTTGATAAGTTGAAAAGTTAGAAAATTTTGAATTTTATTAACTCCAAACTTGAATTAAGAATTACAATTCTTGAGGCCTATTTATACTTGAAGGCTAATTGAAATGCAAAGAAATAAAATTTCCTAGTTAATTGTACAAGCTTGACTAGTAAACCAAATAAAAAATAAAATAATAAGAAAATTATAATTAGGAAAGATTTAATCAAAATAGTGTAGATATGTCGCCCTTTTTAAGAAACCTCTTAATCGGTGAAGATCACTCTTTAGTTGATTAGATTCTTGAGTGAAGAAAAGGAAAATTAGGGCCGACTTTAAAGTGGACATCAAATATGTCCATAATCTTCCTAAACCCATGAAGTCTATGCCTTTAAATGCTTGAGATTTGGTTTTCTCTTTTTGAAAGATTAAGATCGGCCAAGGAGGATCTTTTGGATTCAATGGCGATTCTTCTTGAATTTGGTTGCCATTTTGGGGTGAAAAATTTAAGATAAGAGTATTTTCTTGCTTGGGAAAGATCCCTCATGGTGTAAGGAATTTTTCATAAGCTTGTCTTAGCTTCTTCCCTTAATTGGGTGAGGATGCACGACCGAATTTGCCCATGGCCAAATGGGTTTATTCTTCTTCCGTTGTGGACTTTTATGCTTGGTCCAAGCCCTTCTTTCTTACTAATCCATTCCTTAATATAATTAAAAAAGTCTTCCTCAAGCCTCTTGGTCCTTGTTCTTGTGCTTGACCCACTTGTCTTTAGGATTTTTTTCTCATGTGTTTTAAGTTCATCATATAAGACTTTCAAGCTTTGCTTTCCTCCATGTGAGCGTTGTTTGTGACCCAAAACACTTTGATAACCCATAGAACAACCCATACCGTAACCTATTAAGAGTACAAGGTCCAGACCTTCCGTGCTCCCATCAATAATGCAAGATGGAAACATGAAGGTTAGTAAATAGATCATTTCTCAGTGATTCTTTGGCATTTCTATTATGCTCGTCAGTAGTAGCTCTTCCCCATGCTTCTTATCTGATTCTCTTATCAATCAGTATATCATCAATTGTTATCTTGATTCTAAATCAATAATATTGTTATTTCGAGCAATCTTTCTCTTATAATCTGATGCAGAATGAGTTATCATTAGATTTCATAAATAAATTAGAAAATATAATTACATTAAATGTAAAATAACTGTACTATCTAGAAATCTATTCTTATATCAGTTAGGAGTATTATTTAGGAGTCTATTTCCATGAAGGCCTGTCGCAAAATCTCACCAGAGAAAGTGTCACTCACCAACACAAGTTCTCATTGCCACTGTCTCTCTCGATCCTGTATTTCTTTGCAATTGTGTCTTACATTTACCTCCATTACGGCCATTGACTAAAGATCGACGTTGTTCAGTGCCTGAAAGCTGGCATGTGAAGCCCACGCACAGTTAGTTGAGGGTAGATCTTGTGCAATACTTTTTGTTTTTGCTTATTTGATAAGTTCTCAGTTCGATTAAACCATTTTAAAGAGAATTAAGTTTAGAAAATGTGACTAGCGCTGATTAAACACTAATTTAGACATATGAGCACCAATATACTAGATTAGAAT